GCGAATCGCAAAAGTCTCAGCGTGCGTCACTCGCTGCATGGACACACGGATGCAGTGACCTGCCTGGCTGCCAGCGCTGCCTACAATGTCATTGTGTCTGGATCTCGAGATGGAACTGCCATTGTCTGGGACATGTCACGCTTTACGTTTGTGCGCCAACTGCGTGGCCATGCGGGCGTTGTGTCCGCCGTTGCAATCAACGATCTCAGTGGTGAAATCGCCACCTGCTCGGCGACCTGGCTACACGTGTGGTCCATCAATGGCGATGCTCTGGCCATGGTCAATACGTGCGTGGGCAGCGCCGATCGCATGCAGCAAATCCTGTGCGTTGCCTTCTCCCAAATACGGGAATGGGATCAGCAAAATGTGGTCATGACGGGGTCCACCGATGGCGTTGTCAGGGTGAGTGGACCACACCTCAACAGTTGTTATATCTTCATTTGATAACATTTCTTATTCTCTGCAGATGTGGTCGCTGGAGCACACTCAAGTGCCCATTGACCGGAAGCTGAAGCGTGGCGTGGAAGTTAACTCGCAGGACAAGCCCGACGCAGGCGCCGCTGATGAATCTCAAACTAAGTCAGACAAAATGAATATTTTCAAGCAAATGAAGAGCCTCTCACAGCCTGAACCGGAGCATGGTTGGTTAACAGAATTTGATTGATGGAAGTAACGATTAAAAACTATTTAAACTTTTTCAGAGATTGTAAAATCTGCCTCGGAAAGCAGCATTTCAGAAGCGTCGCAGCACAGCAATGAGTCCAGTCAATCACTTAAAGTGGAAACATCAACAGAACGCAGAAAGAGCTCCATTAGCGGTGCTAAATCGCTGCATGAAATGAAAGCGGCCACGGTAGAGGGAGCCAGCGGCAGTTCAGAGCATAAAACAAATGAAGGTGAGTTAAGTATATCAAAATATCAATTCAGATAGTTAACTAATGCTTCTGGTATACCCTATACAGAGGAGCACAGCATTCGTCCTAGCAAATCGGACACCAGCTTAACAGACGGCTTCGTTATGTTGGACAACGACAGACATCGCGGCGAGCAGGCGCTTAGAAAAGGTGCTTTAACTCAAAGAATCTAAACTCTACCTGCGAGAGCAAAACATTTCTATTCCTTTCTATCCGAATGCTTCGCATTATTACTAACATTTTGCATCATATTTTCCCCAGGCTTTAAATGGCAACGTCAATTAATGTTCAGATCAAAGCTAACCATGCACACGGCCTATGATCGCAAAGATAATGCCGAACCAGCTAGCATAACGGCTCTGACAGTATCCAAAGATCATAAGATTCTTTACGTAGGTGAGTGCAGGAGATAAACATATTAACAGACTATTCCATCGGACTTTATGCTAACATTGATAATTTTAATTGCATAGGCGATGCACGTGGCCGCATTTTCTCTTGGAGCGTCACAGAGCAGCCCGGGCGCGGCGTAGCCGATCATTGGCTCAAGGATGAGGGCGCCGAGCAGTGTGTCAAGTGTCATGTGAAGTAAGTTCACATTCCAAATATGCTGTGTATATGGGAAATGAATATACAAGAGACTATGTAGAATCAAGTTATGAAATAATAGAAATAATATACGTACTGCAGGGTATAATGAAGTAGCAACAGTCTGTCTCAGTCATTAGTTATACTATTATCTAAAAAGGGTTTTTTGAGTGGCTTTTGCTCTGCAAGTCTCTTAGGTTAGATGCGTGAAATTCCTTACTTCTTATGTAATTACGATAGAATAAGGGATTATGTATACACAAGCATAATACCTTATTCTATCATAATTTAAACACCCCTAGTTTGTGTGTAGATCATCCTAATGCCTTTATTTTCTGATTGATCTTCGTAATAATATTAAATATACTTGCATCTCTTATTTTCTTTCAGATTTACGCTGTATGAACGGAAGCATCATTGTCGCAATTGTGGTCAGGTCTTTTGCAATAAGTGCAGTCGCTTCGAATCGGAAATATCGCGTTTGCGTATTCTGAAGCCAGTTAGGGTATGCCAGGCCTGCTATAGCCAGTTGCGTGCGAGTTCCCTCGACAATTAAAAAACGAAAAACGAGGTTTACGATTACCTATGATTCAATAACGAATTTCGATAACTAAGTTCACTTTCTATGGCAGAAAAAACAATTGTAACTGTAAAAGACGTTAGGGGCATTCATTTAAATACGACTAATTTATTTATATTTATATAACTATATATTTATTTAATATATTTTTTAACCAAAAGCAAAAAAAAAGTGTTGCGCTAAAAAATAAACAACCAAAGGCTGTTATATGATTTTAAATAATTTTTTTTTTTTAGTAAAAAGAAAGTAAAACAAAACTTGTTGCAATATTATTTTTTTATACTTAATTTTAACTATTTATTGTACACCGAATAAAACAATAAAAACAATATTGCTTATACGCCACAATCATTGAAAATTGTAGTAAAGTATTAATTGAATTGTGTAATTATATAAATATTTAAATATATATAAAGGTTTTGTGTGTAGCATCCAAATTTTGCGCATGTATTAAAGCTGCTTAGTGATGCCACCAGCGCACAATAAAATATTGTTATATGAAATAAATAAATTTAGAACACTATAAAAGTATAAAGATATATATATATATGGGGAATGTATGTAGTAGCCAAAACATAAACAGAATCCAAAATCAATAATTAGCTTACCAATAACGCAAACAAGCACCGCCAGTTATATCAATTACAAGAAAACAAAAAAACAACTGAACTTCAATGAATTTTCTAGTAAATATTGTAATCAAACCACATTTGGAGACAGATTTTTATGGAGCACACAGAAAAGGGAAGAAAACACCTAATTAGCACACACAACACACAAACCTCACACTAAAGATTTATACACATATACAACAGCAACAGAAAAGTGAAGAGAAACTACTTAAGCCGAGTATTAAAAAAAAATAATAAAAATACATTTAACTTCCAAATGAACAAGAATAATTTGATTAAAAAGCAATGGATTAAATTGTAAATGTATTAATTGAGTCCGTAAATATAAAAGCAATAATTTAAATTGCTTATTAATTAAACTGAGAGATAACTAAACAAGTAAAAAGCGAAATATATAAAAGCTAAAGTTAAACAGGAAGTTAAGCACATTTTTAATGTGTGCAGTCAGAGAGTCTTTTCTAATTTCAACTTTTTCCATTCTGTAACTATAATATATATTTTTGATTAAATATTTATTCATTTTCATATTAATTTTCATTTTCTACAGCCTCTTACTTTGGCTCTCTAAACCTAAAAAAAACTTTGTATATATAAAAGACAAATAACGAAGCAAACAATAAATGAGATTTAGAACAAATAATAATAATATTTAGTTAAAAAAATGTCGTAGTGGTAATTAAACTAAACAAAAATTATTAAAATATATTCGGTATTTTGTAGAGCATCTACATGTTGCATTGATAATAATTTACAAATATTATATACATGTGACGGCTATATACAAAAATTATTGTTGTTCTAACAACACATAAATAACATATTTCAATTTAAACAAGGCAAAAACTCCCATAAACAGATTTGTTAAGGCTCTCGAGCCTGAGGCAACAACAATTAAGTACATTTTCAAGAAGACTTACGAAAACAAGGCAAAATAAACACATTCTATAACTAAAGAAAAAAGAAAAACAAAACAAAAAACACATTTCAAGAACTATCCAAAGACTAAGCCAGAAATTCTTACATTTCAAAATAAAAGAACCTAATTATACGATGAAGGAACCTTAGCCAATTAAGTCCAATACAAGAGAACACCACAGAAAAATCCAACACAACTAAAAACGAACCCAAATAACTATTATATATTATATGAAAAAAAAAATATATATATACATATATATATATATATATATATAAATATATATATTACTTGTTAGTTCGTGTCATAAGAATATATGCGAAAAAGCAAAACAACAATTGAATAAAATGAATAATGTTAAAAACTGCATTTCAATTGGGGAGACACAAAAATGAAAAATACAAAAATATTTAATGATTTATGTTTAATTTTTTTTGTTAGTACAAATTTTATTTATTCTGTTTAATATACTCTTATACTATACTTTATCTCTCTTTTATAGCTCACAACTCTTAAGAGAACAGACAGGCATTAACAGTGGGTCATCAGCCGGCATCAATAGCCGAAATCATTAATGCAAAAACAAAATCACAACGGTTCTTCCTCTCGCATCATTTAATATGCATCTATACTCTCTCACTCACATACAAGCATACAATAAAGACGAGATCAAAAGCACAACATATCTACTCAAATCCATTTCTCTCTATTAAAATTAACTCAAAAACTGACAAAAAGCTCAATAAATTATTTATACATACCTTAATTCTCGAAGAAAATATGAAAACTCGTCTTGAATAGAACAAAAACAATATAGTTTCCTAATTACAATTTATTTAAGCACAATTATACGCGCACGCTCGACTAAATCTGCTCGCGCCTACGCTAAGTCGAATAACTTAAATAGCATAGAGTCCACAGCTGCTCTTTCCACTCACACTCACGCAGGAATAGTCAACTTAAGTAACGGGATTAAAAGCACAACTTCGAACACTGAGGAGCTCACCAATACTAAAATGAAACTCTTAAATTAAGTGAATTGAATGTGTATTTAAAAAACGTTGCTTTTGAAATAACATGTGTTAATTTAAAACCAAAAAGAATAGAAATTATGTATATTAATATTTAACAATCGACGCAGCCGCTAACGCAACGGACACGAGTAGACTAGAGTATAACACTATACTGGCTGCCTACTTCCAATACGAATACAACCGCATTATATGCTAAACTGCTTGCTTCCAATGCTGCTTTAAAGCTTTATTTCGTTAACTCAAAGAGACAACGCGATCCAATGAGAGAGCTGCCATAAGAGCAACCAGAGGATATCGTCTAAACACCAGTGCCCCCTCTCCCGGTTAACAAAGAAATAAATTCCATAGTTTTTATTCTTTTCTCCCATGAGATCCACATACATATGTAATAATGTGTATGTGTTGTGTGCTCTGTGTCGTTGTGTTGTTAACGTTTTTGGTCCATTAAAAAAAGTGTATCTTATTGACTAAACAAAGTTGCCATCCAGTGATGAGAGATGTGTCTGATTCAGAATGTGCGATTCTATTTAGTTGAAATCACGCGCCGATTTGCCAGAAATGGATGCGTCCAGCTCCTTATTGCTGACGTCCATGGTTCGTATGCCACGATGGCTGTGCAATGGGTCTGTCGCGCATACAAAAGCCACCAGGACAGCAATTGCCACCGGGGCAACCCGATGGCGGTGATCCACCCATGCGGGAACAATTGCCGTTCGGACAATTAAAGCATTGCCTGGAGCCGAACTGGGAATTGTTATATTGAGAGTATCCGTCCATGGTGATTTGTTGCTTTGAGCTGAAAATAAAATTTTAATTTTATTTATTTAGTTTATTTTTTTTTTTTTTTTTTTTCATTATTTGATTTCAATTTACCGGCTAGAATTCCGTTTCACAGCTGGCAAATCGGTGCGTTATTTTTCAAAAAGAAAAAATAACAAAAAGAAAAAACTTTTGAAGTGCTGAAACACTTCTGATTTGTTTGAGGTATATGAAAAGAATGAGCTATTCGACTACACAGCGCTCAGGGGTTAAGCCGAGCAGCGCTGACAGCAATTCGTTCGCCTGCTACGTTTCGAACTTCATTCGAATCGACGACAATTCGAACTGAGAGCAGAGCGCAGGCGCTGCAACTGACAAAGTGGTGAGTTTTCTGCACTAAGAGGCGTGGCTAAATGCCACGCACTCACACAATGATAATTGTGGTGGGTCGGTGAGCGAAGAGAGGTCGGAGAGTTTTTGGGGCATAGAAAAAATGCGACTTCTTGATGCCACAAATTTGGCATGTGAGTGTGCATATATGTGTATATGTGTACGTATGTGTGTGTATGTGTGTGTGTATTTGATGGGAGGAGATGCCGAGCAGCGGGTGTGGAGTATGAGTTAACGCTGGCGTTGCGTCAAATGACTTTGCATTCTGACTGGCTAATATAACCGCAGGATTGTATCAAAGCGACGGGCTGCACTCAACGTGCCTATGTGTATGTGAGTTTGTGTGTGTAAGTGTGTGGAATGGTTGGATTAGTGTATTACAGTATATGCGACTATATAACCGGCGGCTACCAAATGGGCTGTGTAATAGCTGCCGCGCTCCTTTCCGCTCGTTATAGCCAAAATACCAAAATACCGATTTACAAGACTCCACCCACAAAATGGCAAACATACATGCATATATACATACATACATTCTTGTATACATATATACAGATATATAAGACGTTGTCCGCTAAGCCGACTCCGGCCTACGCAAAATTATTCACTATATAAGAATATATACATATACATGTACATATAAAGGTAGATGTGTATGTGTGTGTGCAACCAATACACAATGTCACAAAAGTCATTTCAATTTAGATGCGAGTCAGTAAATCAACCCCTATCAACATACCAACAACAACCAGCCAGTGCCAGCCCAGAAAACGCCATTGCGAATTTCTCGCAGCGTCACACATACACACACATACATGAAAATCTTACACGCACACATGGGCACAGCAGCTTACACACGCACATATATATACATAGGTGAATGCATACTTACGTATATCATACATACGACATATTTTTGGCTATCCCCAACTGAATACGCTACACAGAATAATTGAAGGAACTACAATATATTTCATATTTAAGTTTGCTAGAAGATAATATGATACATAATAAAATATTAATAAATAAAATTTGGTACATACAGTGGGATGCAAAAGTGCAAGCAGAATAATTAATCATTTTATAAAACAATATTTAAAAATAAATAAAGTTATTGCTAATAGGAGTTTATAGTCAGAATATTAAAATTGACTAAATCAAAGCAGTTGTTGAAAGGAAAATCTGTTGATTATAGCATTGGAAAGTTCTTAAAAACAGATTTCTGAGCTGTGATTACCATTTTTGTGTTGAATACAATGCAATAAAGCATTGTCCTAAAATCCAACTCAAGATATTATCGATAATTTTAAATTATTAATATTAATAAAATTTCACTGTAATGTTTATTATTTCCAATAAAAAAATACATACTATTCAACAATCGACTTAATGCCATTCAGTTTTATACAACTAATAATGTACTAAAAATTTATGTATTTTAAATAAATGATATAAATATATAACACATATGATATAATAATAATTTAAGTATTTGTATAAATATTTATTTGGAATAATAATATATAATAGAAATATATGAAATACAGTAAACTTGTCCATCCAAGCTGTATATCATATTTTCCCCAACTTTATTCCATTCTTCAATTCACTTCACATTGCCCCAAATGCCCCAAAATTGTAGCGCCACTCACAGCTGAGATCCTGACTTTAGAACTAATAATCCGACAGCCTACAAGCGCAGGACGAACCAAAAATAAGACAAAAAGAATGAAGGGAAAAAAGTAGCAGGAGCAGAAGAGAAGCCAGCGAGGCATCAGCCCGAAGACCAGCAGCAGCAGTCACGACAGCGACCTCTGCCGGCAAAGATATTTGCTGTGGCACAAATACAGAGGTACACAGTGGAAGAGGCCAGGCGCAAGCAGGACACATATATACAAAGAGCCAGGGACAGAGAGAGAGAGAGAGAGCAAGACAACAGATGCCATTACCAATACACAGACAGAGCGACGTCAACGTCAGCGACTCCAGCTACGACGACGACGATGTCGCCTCGTTCCGTCGCTAGCTTTTCATCATTCTTGACATTTTGTGGTGAATTGTCGAAAGCCACAGGATATGTCGCTGTGTGCGTGTGCGTGTGCATGTGCGTGTGAGTCTCTATGTGGGTGTTTGTGTGTGTGCAAAGAAAAAAAAAAGTTAGAAAATGGTGGACGGCAGGAAGTCTCCTCATTTGCTGTAATCGCATCAGGCGGCAGGCGCAGAAAAAAGGGCGTTTTCCGGTTGGCTGCCCGCCTCTGCCCGAGCCATGTCCTTTGCCGTTGCATACCCTTTGTGGCGCCCACTCTCGCAGGGGATGAAATGTAACATTTGGTAGCTTTTCGTAAATTTTCGACTTTTTCGTCGACGTTTTGGTTTTTCGCAACGCGCTGCGCTTTCCACATTTTCATTTTCATTTTGCCTTTTCCTCATTCGGTTTCGGGCTTTTCCGTGCTGTGCTCTGTCCTGTCCTGTCCTGTGCTGTGGCTCTGCTGTAGCATCGCGCCGAGGGTGGGTGGCTGGGGTGGGTTTTCTTTCTTTTTCTTTTTTTTTTTTTTTTTTTGTTGGCTGCCTTTGGCTTTGCGCTGCATCCTGTCAAATTGACTGCAAAAAAGGACCTCTCCTTTGGCAGCTTCACTTTCGTAATTGGCGGTCTGCTCTGCTCTGTTCTGCTCTGCTCTGCTCTGCTTTTGGCTCCGGCTCCGGCTGCGGCACCGGTTCAGCTTCAGCCACTGCTGGCTGCGCCATTCACAGTTGGTCCGTCAGCCAAAACGATCCGCATCCGCTCCGCAGCAGCTGCGTCGTCGTCGCCGTCGTTGTCGTCGTCCTTTGCGTCGTCGTCCTTTGCGTCGGCAAACGTAATCAACAATTTTTCGCGTGCGTTAGTCAAATTTTGATTTGTGATTTGTGATCTCCCAGTGCTAATTGTGCTCGAACTAAAAATTCACCAAATCCCAGTTAAATATATCGTGTGATTAGCGCTGTCAACATAAACTTAACCACGCTGGATACTTTAGGGTTTAAATATTTCCACCAACGGAAAATGGGCACAGGTAAACATTGAAGAGTCAGCCGTAACACCGACGGAATTTTCTGTGATTCAGCAAGCCGTCGCTATTTCAAAGCAATAGTAAACCGTTAATTACACGACAAAATAAAAAATATAAAAACTATTCAACTGAAACATATATATGAATAAATAAATATATTTATTATAAATAATAAATGAATAAAACTTCATATGACACAAAAATATGCATTTGAATACAATAAACAATTAAAATAAGTATAATTATGTGTACAATACAAATTACAAATGAAAAAAAAAAATTTGAATTAGCTACTAATTAATATAAAAAATAATTTTACAAATATAAATAATATTTGTATTTATTTTATGAACGTGTCTAATATTCTTTCTATTTGGGGCTCTTATTTAAAATTATTAAAGCTCACTTATTTACTGTTTGAACCTCTATGTGTTACTAAATTCGTGTTAATCTAAAGTTAAAAAAAAAAAAAGAAATTTATTTAAATAATTATTCAAAGGAATTTATATTGTTGAGCTGGAATTTATAATGTTCATTGCTGATTTTTAAGATTACTTGAGGCAACATAAAAAATTATCAATTACATATTTACTGTTTATTTAAATAAAAAATTAAACTTGAAATGTATTAATTGGAAAGTATTTTTAAAGGATATTTACAAATCTTAATTAAAATCAAAACTGCTTTTGATATACTAAAATAATATTGTTTAAAAAAAAAACAATCATTGTACCTTAATTCATATAATTTTAAAAATATATTACAAATATACAACACATTATTGTTGTTTGATTTATTAAAATAAGTATAGTTTAAAAAATAGTTAATAAGGAAAATTCATAAATAATATTGTAATAAATAAATTACAAAAATTTAATATAATAATAATAGTAATATAATAATACTTGTGTTTTTTATATTATATATTTTATTATTATTGTTGATCTGAGTATTAATATAAAAATATATATTTCCATTGTAGCTGTCATTATTAGTATTGCAGTTTTAGTTCTATATAATCTTTATTATTATAAATAATATATCAATAATAATAATTTTTATTATGATCAGTAATAATATTACTTACTTACTTTTTGTAAATATTTTTGCTATTTTTTATGTATCATCCATCTTATTTGACATTTATATATATATATATATTTTTTTTAATTCATTTAATTTTAATTCATTCTATTTTTCTAATTTTTCAGCTTCATTACCTATTTCACAGCCTAAAATGGTCTTTGATTATAGCATCCTTGGTATTAATAATCCACTTATATTTTTCAATATTTATTTGAAAAATAGCTTTTAATTCATTTTAATAATTAAAATTTAAATAATAATAAAATCTGTATTTTACAATATATACTTGAGGACAGAAATAGCTTTAACAGTTATTTTAATTATAAAAAATCTGTACATTTCATTCAGATCCAACCAAATCGATACTGAAGTTACTTCAGTTCAGTTACTTCCATTTTGATTTGCCTAATTCGCTATTCCCACGCCCGAGCTGAACAAATCCCACGTTCGCCCACACCCACTGAACTGAGTGGGGCAACCTTTTTAGCCTATGAAAACAATGCAGAGATTTCCATACCAGTCAAAAAGCATATTGTAGACCAGTGCAAACTTAGATATAACCCGCTCGCATGCATAATGCGAGAGTTGACGCAACTTGCTAAACTAACAATAACGCGAGTGCGACTGAGAGAGGAGGAGAGGAAATAAATAGAGATACCAATGCCAAGGCATAAATAAACAAAAATATTTAAAATCAACAATAAAAAATTTTTTAAAAAGAAAACAAAAAAGCGAAAGGCAACAACTATATAGACTGCAGAGTGTGCCACCCCAAGGGGTCAGGGTCAGGGGTGAAGGATTCGAGACTGGGCACGCACAGCCACTCGAGAGGTGTTAACACGCAGCGGACAATTGGCGATGCGCAGGGTGTGAAAATTGGCAACACGCGTCGCAACCAGAGACCACAGGCAACCCAGCCGCAGCCGGAAACCCACCGACAGTTGACAATATGTCAAATGTCACAAAGGACAAAGGACCCCGCCGGGAAAAAAAACACAGAGCAGGACAACAACAAACGCAAACGGCCGCGTTTTATTTTGACAAGTGTCCGAGTGTTCAACTTAATTTGTGAAGCGTGTGTGCCGCTCGCAAAAGGGCTAACATCATATAGCTTGCATTATGTGCTAGCTTTGTGCAATTTTCACTTGCTAATCCGCGACACACACGCACACACCCACACACAGACTAACACACAGCCATACTCATGTGGCAGGCAAATAAAGGGCAGAAGTGCCGCAAAGTATGCAACAACTTTTGTGCGTGCCACTGCGTGTTTACCTAACGTAGGCTTTGACGCCGGGCTTAGCTCCTAAATATAAGTTAAATATGCGGATATATTGCGACACGAGCACTTAAATACACGGCTCAGTTTGCCGACACAGTTTTTGGCATGGCGAAATTCATTTCGGATGTTTCACAAGAACAGAAAATAGTTGAGACTTGATGCTGATTGAAGGAAATATATTGTTTATATTATATTTAACTGGATATAATACCCATTAGTATTAGATTAATATTTTTTTATTTATATTTCATATATTTTATTAGATCTTATCGTATTTTAATTAAATTATAAAATATAAAATGTAAAATATATAATATAAAATATAAAAGATAAAATATAAAATATAAAATATAAAATATAAAATATAAAATATGAAATATAAAATATAAAAATATAAAATATAAAATATAAAATATAAAATATAAAATATAAAATATAAAATATAAAAATAAAATATAAAATATAAAATATAAAATATAAAATATAAAATATAAAATATAAAATATAAAATATAAAATATAAAAATATAAAATATAAAATATAAAATATAAAATATAAAATATAAAATATAAAATATAAAATATAAATATAAAATATAAATATAAAATATAGCATGTAAACTGTAAAAGATAAAATATTAAATATAAAAAATATAAAATTTAAAAACATCTTTATATGTATATATTGAATCAATATCACATTTATATATATAAATCGCATTATTACAATTCATATCTATTCACAGCTGGCGATCGCCTGCTGGACATACCTTGCAAGGTGTGCGGCGATCGCAGCTCGGGCAAACATTATGGCATCTACAGTTGCGATGGTAAGTCTGAGCACTAGTATCCCACTTAGCCAATCGCTCTATGGTTGATTGTCCGCTTCACAGGCTGTTCGGGCTTCTTCAAGCGCAGCATTCATCGCAATCGGATTTACACCTGCAAGGCAACAGGTGATCTCAAGGGTCGCTGTCCAGTGGACAAAACACATCGGAATCAGTGCCGCGCCTGCCGCCTAGCCAAGTGCTTTCAATCGGCCATGAATAAAGACGGTAAGTGCAAAAGGGGCTTTGGGGGCTAGCCGCAAGTCTTTGTTTTGCTAGCCAAATTCATTTAATTATGCAACAAATTAGCCGGGCTTCCTACCCGGGCATAAATTACATTAAACTCAAAAACCAAAAATGCCGCAAGGCCTTTCGCCTTGCTCTAGCTAAAGTCTGCACAGCTCACAGATTGACATGGGAATGCTCCAAGTGCCTTTGCTCCTTTTGTTGTAGTTGTCATTAAGCCGATTATAAATTATACGGAGCTCTCTCTCACACGCTCTACCCTTCTCCATCTGTCTATCTCTCTCACTTTCTCCATCAAGCAGAAGGCAGAGAATTCAAATGACGGCACTTGATTTTTGAACAACGTTTTTTGTGTGTAGTGCATAAATTATGGAAGCGTGACTTTCATTTGCCAGCGAGTCAAGAGCATTGTGGGGTTTGGTTGTGAGTAAAGGTGATTTCAATTAGGCAGTAACATGAAACGTATATGGGAAGGCGACACTGAATTTGATTCTAATCACAATATATGGCAGACTGAATATGTGATCAAAAATTACTTGTTGAAAGCTAAACATATATTTTCTTTAAATCTGTTTAGCTTTCAACAAGCTAGCCAAAATTCCAAATTTAAATTTGATTTTTTTTTTTTTTTTTTTTTTTATTATTTATTTTTATTATATTTATAGAAAAGATATACATTTATATAATAGGAATTTAAACAAAATAATAATAATAATAATATAAATTGGCATAGCCTGCTAAATATTTGAAATGAATTGTTAAAATATACCAGAACTAAATTATTTAATTAAATTTTAGCATGAAAATTATGCATGAAGTTTCGACAACTAAATCTTAATTCACGCTTTCGTGATAATATATCCACATGCTGTTTTTCACATCTCAACACACTGCAAGATCTTAAATCTTAAAGAGTTTTCTTCAATATAAAGATTATGCAATGGAAATACATATAATTTATTAGTTTACTGTATTGGTTTAGTTCTATTGTTATTTTATTGTTTTCTCACATAGACCAAGGCTTTTCACAAAATGAATATGGCGTAATTTAATTAAGCAGCAAATTTTTGAGATTTAAACAATTGAAAGTGAACTAAAAATACAATATAGTATGTAGTTAGTAGACTTAATTTATTTGGATCTCTATTATAAATTAAAAAAGTTAGAATTCTTTAAGACAGACTAAGCCAGAGCACTTACCTATCCATGCGCAAACAAATCTTTCAGCTCTTTTTGCCTGCCACTAATCCTTCTCTACACAATTCTCTAAAAATCTCTCTACCTTTCTCCACTTCATACGCTATTATTGTCCGACAATGAATACGTGTAAATGAGTCTCACTTGAGTCACTAAATGATTTGCATATTACGAACATGCTCAACTTTATTTTGGCCATTTGCGATTGACCAAGCCTTACAGACCGCTTCCGCCCATTTATCAAATACCGAACGCAAATTGAATAGAACCCAAACTGAAGCGAGAAACGAACAACAACTCAATGCAACAATGCTAGCTTTAAAGCTCTTAAGCCAACATTAAATGTAGCATAAAAACACATGACAACGTCGGCAATGAAAGCAATTCACAAACATCTATGGCTATATCTATGGCTCTATGGCTATATGGCAACAGCTCTATGGCTACAATTTACCATTTAGCAACAATCATTGATGGGTTCACTGCACAGTACAACAACAACAATAGCAGCAGCAGCAGTAGCAGCAGCAGCCGAGGGGGACGAACAGCGTGAGAATTGTTGCAGATTTTCTCACACGCAATTCGCCTTTGGGTGGGAGTGTCGATTGACAATGTGCACTTAATAGCGGATTACATGCATTATCCCAACGCTGAAAATGCGACTAAAATGTATTGACAATCAAATGATGATACCAAACTCAGACGTCAGACGCCAGAGGTCGGACATCAGGCACCCAGACCTTAGGACCTTAGACGTCAAATGCGAAATATCTGGCTCTATTTCGAGTCACATGCCCAGAAGATTGTTTTTCCTATTGAATCGAGTAGGGTAGTGGTTAAGACACGCCTTACGGCTTACGCCCGTTCATTTTGCCCGGCCAAAAGAAGGCTGGCTAGGTGACAACAATAGCACAACGGGCAAAAGCACAACAAACAAAAAAAAAAAAAAAAAATCGAAAAAAGTGGAAGCAAAAATAGACAAGCAGTTCGAAAAGCCAAAGATTAGATACACTTACGTTTGAAATTTTATGAAGGGTAAATATGTCTAGGGATACAAAGCAAAATTTGCTTGATGCTGGCTTTTTTTTTTTTTTTTTTTTGTACAGAGTTTAGACTTTTATGTCTATGCAGCTGAAATATCATATTTACATAGAATTTAATTTGAACATTGTTTGATATATTTAGATGGTAAGGGAAAATGGATGAAAAAAAAACCTTGAATTGCGAATTGCTATTATTATATATTAGGACTTTTATTTTGTAATATATATTAAGTAATATTAGTGTTTAATGACTATAAAAATATATAAGAACTATTAATATTTAAATTAATACATAATATTCATCACAAGTTTGTTTTTTTTTTTTTTTTTTTAACTATATATATAATTTATAATAATTATTGTATAATTGTATAATTCTGAATATTTTTTATATTAATATTAGAGATATATATTTTGTTTCTTATTAAACAAGCTTATAAATCTTAATTTAATTTATATATTAATAATTAATTTTTCGTATTTAATATTTATTGATTTATATACATATTATAGGAAATCAGGACTTTGAAATGATGACTTTGTCTGCAATAACTAGAAGGAGGTGTGGCAGACACCTTGAAGTAAATTTAGCCTCTGCCCGTCTGTCTGACTGACTGTTGTTCCAGACGGAATTGCTTGAATTGTATATAGAGGCCTTAAATTTTGGGTTTTATTTTTGTTTTTATAATTATTATATAGATTTATTATTATTTAATTTTATTATTTAGTTTTAGTAGCCAAAAAAAATTACAGGGTTTTTTATTGTTCCTGAGAAAATATATATTAATCACATTAAATGAAAGTATACAAACCGATAACAATTTCATTCCCCTACCTGATCAATTTCTTTCTATATCAAGATTTTGTTCAGTCAAGTCGAGTTTTTTGCTCAAGAGCTATATGTATATTTAATAATATCAAAACTATTTAGTCGAACGATAGTCTATAAGCAAATCCGTTAAAAATAACTTTAATCTTTATATTAAAAACATAATATATTAGTAACCTACAAGAAATAAATTAATACAAACAATAGAAATGACATGCTCATCATCTCCCACTGTCTTGCCACATGCTGTCTGGCCAAGTCTATTGAACTCCATTTCTGGTAGAGCATCTGAATGCTGTGTTCCCGGACCCGAACATGTGTTTCTACTTTTTCCTTGTGCATTTTCTTAGTTTGCCGCTGGAAAGCCTCATGTTAGCTGCCTTTTTGGGGTTTTTCTTGGCTGGTTGCCGTACATAAACAATAAACACACACCCACACACACACACACGCTAACACACAGACATAAGCTGACTGTAACAGCGCAGCCCTTCGCACAGACAAAGTGCTTTTGTTGTTTAGAGCAAAAAGCAAAAAAGCCACAAAAATCGTTCAAGGCACGTTTGTGTTATATTTTTCGACCCAACATAAGAGTAGTTGCTCCTCCACAGAGCTATAGTATAAGCCACGCCTCCTGCTCTGCTGCTTGTGCTGCTGCCTCTTCTATGGCATTTCTGGTGCTGGCTATGTGGTTAGCCATTTTTAGTTGGTTTCCATTTTGTTTGTGTTCCGGGGCGATGTTATTTTAGTCTGATTTCTCGATGTTGTCCATAAAGTTAATTAGAAAAGCTGTCAGTGCTGTGAAATAGTGTTGCATAGCAGTAGATCAAGAAATTCTTTAATAACACTTGTATATCTCTGGCTGTCTCGCTCTTTCTCTCTCTCTCTCTCTCTCTCTCTCTCTCTCTCTCTCTCTCTCTCTCTCTCTCTCTCTCTCTCTCTCTCTCTCTCTCTCTCTTTCCGTCTCTTTTGCTCACTCTCTCACAGAGATAAGTTATGATGGGAAAATATGACAAACAGCGCACATTTTCATTTTACTTTTACTTTATCTTACTCTCTATCTCCATCTCTCTCCCTCCCCTCTCCTTTTCGCTGCCTGTCTTATAAATGTTGGCCGCTTTGTATGCTAATATTTGAAAAAAAAAGGCGACACGGCGAGAGCTTCCCTTAACAAATTATGTTGCCACTTGTCACATTTAATGGTATTTGCATTTGTATACCAACAAATGGGTGTCAGGCATCATCATCACGCATAGTGATGATGCTCTCTTCTATCTCTCTTTCTCTTTCTCGCTCTCTCTCTCTCTCTGTCTCACTCCCCCTCTCTGCCTTAGATTCCTATTTCTTTACAAATATTTACGCGGCATTTTAAGCGGATTTTTCATTTTGAGTGATTTGTGTCGCTTTTCCAAATCCCATCCGCATCATGGGGGGGAAGCGCTAGCAATAAAATGTCCTTTTGCGGGTCGTCCACTTTATTGTGTGGGAGTGGGGCGGGCGTGTGGGGGCGTGTGCGTGTGCATATTTAAGTCTTCATATTTGCCGGCTGCGTGATGAGCCGAAAAGTGAGCTCTAATGGCTCTGGCATTTGAGAAATGTGGGAAGTATAATATATACGATATAAGCCAGTGTATATATATATTATATAATATTCAAATTATAACAATTTTATTTACTCAATCTATTGCAAACATAAACGTTAAATATACCGTTATAGATATGAAGCGCTGGCCAATTAGAATCTAGATTTTGGAAACAGATATTGGTTAATATTAGCTAAGGTTTTTTAGAAACTGAGTCTGTAACTTGAAATAGTCATAAGAATTCGTTAGAATTCCTCTTTTACACACAAATAAGTATATAAAAGCTAATTAATAAAATAAATAAAGTTGAAAATATAAAGACAAGTTCCTTTT